ACAAAATCAGTTTTAGGTCATGATTTTCTTCTTATTATTATTTTTTGTTTTCAAAATCAGTTTTAGGTCATGAAGTCAGGCAAATAAGTGAGATGAGGAGCAGGAGGATAGTGGGGCTCAGGGGAACTGCTTATGCCTTCTCTAACAGATTGTTGCATGAGGGAGTGTGAACCCATCCATTCCAGATCTTTAGAATTTTTTCAAGAGAAGCCAGAACATCAGGGTTTTTAAAAAAAAAAACTTTATTTTTTAGGGGAACAGTTTTAGTTTACAGAAAAGATAGTACAGAGAATTCCCACATAGTCCACGCCCTGTTTCCTCTATTATTAAGATTTTCTATTAGTGTGGTACATTTATTATAGTTAATGAATCAGTACTGATACTTTTTTATTATTAAACAATTTTTTTTTTGTAGAGACAAGGTCTTGCTATGTTGCCCAGGCTGGTGTCAAACTCTTGGCCTCAAGCAATCCTCCCACCTCAGCCTTCCAAAGCACTGGGAATACAGGTGTGACCCACCGCACCCAGCCTCAGTATTGATACATTATTATCATTAACTATGGTTCATAGTTTATTCAGACTCCCTTAGTTTTTTATCTAGTATATTGTTTCTGTTCGAGGATCCTAGCCAGGGTACAATATTACATTTAGCGGTCACGTCTCCGGAGTCTCCTGTTGACTGTGACAGTTTCTTAGCCTTTCCTTATTTTTTTTTTTTTTTCTTTGGCGCATCAAAAGAATGAGACCTTTCCTTATTTTTAATGACCTTGACAGTTTTGAGAAGTACTGTTCAGGTATTTTGTAGGATGTCCCTCTGTTGGAATTTGTCTTATGCTTTTCACATGATTGGACAGGAATTATGGGATGAAGGTAAAGTGCCATTCTAATCACATCATAGGAAGGGTACCTGCCACCAACCTGTAGACTTATCATTCTAGACGTTGGCCTCCATCACCTGGCTGAAGTAGTGTTTTTCAGGTTTTTCTACTGTAAAGTTATTATTTCTCCCCTCCATAGCGCCCCCTTTGGAGGGAAGTCGCTATGTGCAGCCCACACTTTTAAGGAGTGGAGATTTAGGCTCCCCCTCCCTGAGGAATGAGTATCTACATACGTTACCTGCTGTTTTTCTGCACAGGAGATTAGTCTCTTCTTTCCTACTATCTTTCAATAATGATTATATCTGTAAAGACTGATGGATATTTACTTTATATTCTGGGTTATACTTCAACGCTACTTTATTTTGCTGTTCAAACTGTTCCATCTTTGGCCCTTGGGAGCTCTTTCAGTTTGCTTCCATGTCTCTGTGACATTTTCCCGTTGTTGTTTTTTTTTGTTGTTGTTGTTTTGAGCACTTCCTTACTTTCTGGAGCCACAAGATGCTCCAGGCTCATCTCGTATATTTCCTGCCTCAGTCCTGGAATCAGCCATTTCTCCACAGATCCCTGGTTGCTCCTATTGTAGGACTGTGTTAGAAACCAGGCACTGGGCTCGAGGTGTGCTCATCACTACTGCAGTGTTGCTGCTTCTATATCCCCTCAGCCGACAGGGCAAGGAAATATATGTGTGTATACTAATGCATGCTTGTAGGCATATTGGTAAATACTTCTGTGTATAACCATCTGTGTCTCTATTAAGTTAAACATGAGGTCATGTTAATGTATGTAACTCCAGTGCATTGCTACATGGATCATTCTAGCCTCTTTCCAGTATCTGTAAACTCCCACTACAGTGGGAGTGAGAAACCCGACTGCCACTGTCTGCCATTCATTTACTTAATTGTTCAATTCTATATGCATTTGTAAGAGTGGTAGAATTGTTGATTCCCATGCTCCCAAGGGGAACAACTTTATCAACTAGAGTACAGTGCTTATGCCTTTAGTTTTACAGACTCCTCTCATTTCCAAAGTTACTTAAGGTCAGCACCTTTTTTCCTCATGCTTTTCAGTGAGGTGGCTTCATATATTTGTAATATAGTTTTGTAACATTCTGTGTTCTATCCTGGGATTCCCCCAACCTCCTAAATTATTTTTTTTTAATATTTGCATATTTTAAGCTTCTGTTGTAAAGTTCAATGGGTTTTGATTAATGCATAGTGTTATGACCCGCAATGATAGTTTCATATAGAATAGTTTTATTGCCCTAAAAAATTTCATGTGCTTCACCTATTCAATATCTTTCTACCCCCAGATCCTGGTGGCTGTTGATCTTTTTAAAAAGTCTAAGAATCATATAATTGAAGTCATTCAGTATGTAGCTTTTTCAGACTGGTTTCTTTCACTTAGTAATATGAGTTTAAAGTTCATTCATGTCTTTCTGTGATTTGATAGCTCATTTCCTTTTATTGCTGAATCATATTCCATTGTATGGCTATATCACAGTTTGTTTATCCATCCACATATTGAAGGAAATTTTTGTTGCTTTCAGTTTGGGGGGTTATGAATAAAGCTGCTATAAACCTTCACATGCAGGTTTTTGTGTGGACATACTTTTCAAATCAGTTGGCTAAATACTTATTGCTGTATTACATAGTAAGATTATGGTTAGCTTTGTAGGAAACTGCCAGATTATTTTCCAAAATGGCTGTAATATTTTGTATTCCCTCCACAACATAAGTTTTTAAAATTTTATATCACAAAAATAAGTGTTGGCATCAAATTCAAATTCTCTAAAAGTCAAATAAATAACAGCCACGTGAAATGCATCAGGAAGCTGTATTTGCTCACAGGCAGGCAGTTAATAACCTTTCTAGATGTTAGACCAATACTGCCCAATAGAACTATCTGTGCTGTCAGAAATACTACATATCTGCTTAGTCCAATCCAATAGCAACTTGCAACATTTCACATGGCTATTGAGCACTTGAAATGTGGCTCATGAGACTGAAGGACTGAATTTTAAAATTTTATTTTAATTAAGTTTAAACTTACAGGTGGCTAATGGCCACCATATCGCATGATGCAGTTCTAGGTCATTATAAGGATTTTTGCTTTTACTTGAGTGAGATGGGAAGCCACAGAGCACTTTGAGCAGGGCAGTGCGATGATCTGACTCAACTTTTTTGAATAAAGTATTATTGCCTTAGATGCTGTGTTAGGATTAGACTGAAGGAGACAAAAGTGGAGGCAGAGAGATTTGTTGGAAGTCAACTGCAATAATCTAGAAAAGAGATGACAGTGCGGGCTGGGCGAGGTGGCTCACGCCTGTAATCCTAGCACTTGGGAGTCCGAGGCGGGCAGATTGCTTGAGGTCAGGAGTTCAAAACCAGCCTGAGCAAGAGTAAGACCCATCTCTACTATAAATAGAAAGAAAATTAATTGGCCAACTAATATATAGAGAAGAAATTAGCCGGGCATGGTGGCGCATGCCTGTAGTCCCAGCTACTTGGGAGGCTGAGGCAGGAGGATTGCTTGAGCCCAGGAGTTTGAAGTTGCTGTGAGCTAGGCTGATGCCTCGGCACTCACTGTAGCCTGGGCAACAAAGCTCAAAAAAAAAAAAAAAAAGATGACAGTGGTTTGGCCCAGGGTAATGGTAGTAGGGGTGGAGAAGAAGATTATGGATGTACTTTAAAGTTAGGGCCTATATAAGGTAAATATTTGCCAAATATACTGTATTTGTGACGAAGGTCATAGAATTAAAATTCTTGTCTGTTTGCGGCCTCATGTCTCTTAGACCTGCTTTCATTTTTTTTAAGCCCCTAATAAGATTTCAACCTTCCTGCTCTGAAGGTTGCATGTTAAAGCCTGACTGGGTTTCTAAGTGGTTTCCTTTCTCCTACTTTAAAGAGCATAATGCTGTTACCTTCAAGCTGCCACTGCAAGTGTAGGGCTGGAAAAAAGAAGACAGGGTGTTGGTTCTTACTTTAAAAATTATTTTTTATACATCCACTGTTTAGGTTCCATAAAAATAATTACCACCATGGTCATGGATCATGTCTGGGTGGGAGGGAAGGGCCTGACCTGGTTTCTATAGGGATCATATGTCAGCATTATAGGAATCCTGTAATCAGCACTGGCCAGTAGAAGTATGTGAGCCACCTATATAATTTAAAATTTTCTAGTAGCCACATTAAAAAGAGTAAAAAGAAACAGATGGAGGTCAGGCGCAGTGGCTCACTCCTGGAGAATTACTCCTGTAGCACTCTGGAAGGCCAAGGTAGGAGGATTGCTTGTAGGCCAGGAGTTCAAGACCAGCCTGAGCAAGAGCAAGATGCCCCCCCCCATCTCTACAAAAATAATAGAAAAATTAGCTGGGCATAGTGGTGCACACCTGTAATCCCAGCTACTGGAAAGGCTGAAGCAGCAGGATCTCTTGAGCCTGAGAGTTTGAGATTCCAGTGTGCTACTGCACTCTAGCCAGGGTGACAGAGGAAGACCTTGTCTCAAAAAAAAAAGATGGAATTAATTTTAGTATATTTTATTTAATTCAATATATCCAAAATATTGTTTTGGCATGTAATCAATATAAAAATTATCAGTGAGATATTTCACATTCTCTTTTCTTTGAAATCTGGAGTGTATTTTATGCCTATAACACATCTCAATTCAGACTAGCCACATTTTAAGTGCTTATTAGCCACAGGTGGCTAAAGGCTACTGTATTAGCATAACTGTTAACATTTGTCAAGTTCAGATTTGGTGGAGGTGGGGTTGAGGAATCAAATTCCTAATTATCATCATTGATATCAGATATTATTATAGAATGAATTAAGGGAATAGTGTTTTATATGAGTGGGATAGTCATGTAAAACAAATGAAAAATAAAAATACATCCCAATGCTACCAAACTTAGGCTGGAGTTATCAGTCTGTGGTATGTCTCATCTCCAGAACATATACTGAAATATTATAAATTCCTTCTTAAGAAAATAAAATTATCCTCTTTTCCTCCTTTTTATCACCAGGAAGGGTTAAATAAAGTGCTAGGATGAGGAGGCTTTAGTAGCTCATCAACCTTGAATTGGAGGCTCACTTGCCTTAACTGTGTGTTTCCTGTATCTCTCAGCTGAGACGGGTCTTTGGCAATTGCCTGCCACCCTTTCCACCGAAGTACTATCTGGCAATGACCACAGCCATGGCTGATGAGAGGAGGAACCAGTTGGAACAATATTTGCAAAATCGTATGTATTTGGATTTCTTTTGCATGTTTATTATAAGTTACACAACACAAAATTCACCTGCTCAAAGTGTACAAATCAATGCTTTTTACTAATTTATGTAGTTTTGCAACCATCATCATAATCTAATTTTCAAGTGTCATCTTCACCCCAATAAAAAACCTTGTACCTATTAGCAGTCACTCCCTATTCCCCTCCCCCACCAGGCCCTGGGAACCACTACTCTAATTTCTATCTCTAAAGATTTGCCTATTCTGGATATTTCATATATATGAAATCCTATAATATGTGTTCTTTGTCTTTGGTTTTAGAAATGCTTTGTTTAGATTCACCCTCCGGTGCTGAATTTTGGCTTTGATTGTGGAAGTCAAAGAAATGTTATCTGGATTAAGAGTGAACAAAGGAGTGAGATGAACAGCTCTCAGGAGCTACCAGAGGTCTTTGTTAGTGCTGGAGATGGTACCTCATCTCGGTGCTGACCAGGGAGCCGCGCTAAGGCACCGAGGATGCTCGGCGGCCTGCCCTGGCCTCTGTGCGGCTTGCAGTGCAACAGCCTCGCCCATGGCCTGGGTCCTGAAAATCTGTGCTCAGCAAAACTATGGTTGCCAAGATTAGGCTCTCAGGGAAAAGAGAGGGTTGAGGGAAAATAGCAAATCTGAAAATTAAATGCTTTAAAAGTTTTTAAAATTAGAAAAGTTTATACACATAATGTTTTAAAAAATATAAATTGTACAAAAGAATATACATTGGACACTGATACTTGCACAAAAAAGAGAGAAAAAAAGAAAAAAGAGAGATAAAGAAAAGAAAAAAAGAGAAAAAATTTTTAAAAAATATTAAATAAATAAAAATATAAAAATAAAAAAGAATATACAGTGAAAAGTCGTTTCCCTTCCACCCCAGCCCCCCAGGCGGTTTGTGTATTCCCCAGAGGCAACCTGTGTGCACGCTAGTGTGTACGTAGATCCCTTTTTAACACAAATTGAAGTTGACATATTTTTCTCCACCTGGTTTTTTTTTTTTAAACTTTTTATTCTGAAAGTTTGATTGACAGAAAAGTTTCAAACATTGTGCAAAGAATTTTTGTATGCTCTTCCCTCAGATTTCCTGAATGTTAGCATTTTACACTTGCTCTATCATTTCCTTTCTTGTGTGTATGTATATATTATGAATGTGTGTATATATATATGATTTTTTTTAAATACTTGGGTGTTACACACCTAGGCCATTTTATCCTTACATACTTCTCTGTGTATTTCCTAAGATCAAGGATACTCTCTTATATAATCACAGTATAGTTATCAAAATCAGGAAGTCAACATTGATACAATAATGTTATCTAGAGGCCTTAATTCAAACTTCACTGACTATCACACTAATGTCCTTCATAGCAAAAGAAAAAAGTTTTTTCTTCTGTATGTTGACTTTTTCCTCTTAAAAAAATATATATATATATATTAGAGATTATTCTATATCAGCAATTGTACATTTATCTCATTATTTTTCATGGCTGCATATTTTTTTAAACATAGTCGGTAAAAATTCTAGAAGCCATCTATTTCCCAATCGTTTCTTTTAATGGAGACTACATCTCATTTTAGACTTGTTGGACAAGCTCTTTCAAGCTCAAAATGTAGTATCTTTTAAATTTTCATTCTCTCTTGGTTTGTTTTCTCATGTCTCAGCAAAATCCTCCTTTAATACCTGGCCTTTTCACAAATGATCACAGAGCTTAAAGGATCACTTTTCCAGGCCTGGTCTTTATCCATATCATCAGGATGTCTTGTGTACCCTCTTGGACAAGGTCAAGTAAAGAGATAGTAGTATAGTTTAGCATCAGGGCTGAGAGCACAGGCCCTAGAATCAGAGCTGGAGTCAAATCCCACTTTTGCTCCTCACTGGCTTATCCTAAGTGGGTAATGGAGGAAATTCAGCTTAGGCAGAATAACATACAGCAACTCCCTTTCATTTGTTGATCTGAACAACCACCGGACACTTGCCCCAGGCTGAGACTTTGCTAAGTAAATATTTATTTTGCACATCACTTATTCTGATTATATACATGGAAATATTTTCATGCCTGCATGTATGCACTTGACTGAGTAGAAAAGCTCTGAAAGGATTGAAGTTGTACAATAATACACTATTGAACTGGATCCTTATTGAGGGTAGGAATGATACCTCAATCAGATGTGCAAAAAACTAGAACACATTTCATTTACACGGAGCTTCAAGTCTGTTGATGTATTTACTGGTCTATTCAACCCGATAATGGCCCTAGAGTCTTCTGTTGTGTAGTGGTTCAATTTTCACATACACTTAGTGGTGGACATATACGCATACTTTCTTTTTCTTTGAAAAGTTTGTTATTGAGGTATGATCTTGGGCAAGATGCTTACCTGCTCTAAGCCTCGGTAAGATACTTATCTGCTCTGAGCCTCGGTTTCTTTATCTGTAAAATATCTACCTCGGGGTTTGCCAGGAAGATTAAATGAGCTATGATATACAAAGTCCTGAGCCCAGTACCTGGAACTTAATACACCGCCCCATCACCAAGATTCCCTGCTCTCGAATGTAAAGTGAGTTTGCCTACATGCCACATATATGGCAGAGAATAAAGCAAGGGCTTTCCCCCCCTGAAATCTACCCCACAGAAAGAGGGAATGCCCTTTATAAAGAGTTTCTCATGGCGCAGACACTTTCTCTCTTAGTTTATTTTGGAAAACATGGCATTGTTTGGGAAAGGTGGAAGCTGTGAGTAGTGATAGTTTTGAATGCTGGCAGAGGTTATTTGAGGAAATCAATAAGACAACAGCAAAAAGAAAAGAAGAAAGAAAGAAATGCAACAGCATTTAGTAGGCATGTGAGTTAAGCTAAAGTGCGGGGGTCTAGGAGAGGACCCGTGGGAAGAGGGGTGACACAGGCTGGGCGGTGACCTGTGAGTGTGCAGTTGTCACAAGGGTGTGTCTGCCTCTCTGCTCCGGCCACAGCGCCTGGCTGTTGGGGTCGGGAGCTTTAAAACTAAAGACAAAAACATTTTTGTAAGTATAGAAGAATGAAACACTTTAGATCTCTCTGCCCTGAGAAAAATGGCTATGTGACTGTCAGTGAAATCAAAGCGAGTCTTAAATGGGAGACCGAGTGAGCGCGGCAGGTGCCGGAACACCTGCTGGAGGAAGGGCTGGCCTGGCTGGACTTGCAGGCCCCAGGGGAGGCCACTACTGGCTGCCAGCTCTCTTCACCGACTTCTACTCCCAGGAGATCACAGCGAAGAGGCAGAGAAGCCCTCCCCTGAGAGTGCGGAAGGGCACACAGCAGGCAGGGACAAGAGGGAGGACCTCTTGGTGAATAAACCTGGACGATTTTGTTTAAAAAAAAAAAAAAATTAGAAAAAAAAATCTCTCTGCCTTATCATTGCTTTTTTTTTTTTTTTTTTGGTAACTCCTTGAGAGCACCTGTCATTCAAGAACAGGTGCTTTCAATGATGTTTGTCAGTTGATTAAATTGTTTAAATTACCGTCCATCTTGCTAAGCTGGGAGTCTAGACACAAGTTTTAAGATGTTTTTGCTTCTTCCTATTAACTTTGTTATCCTGATAAGGCAGCAAGCTGGGTGCTGAGCAGCCAGGGTATGCAGGAATAAGTGGACACTCCCCAGCAACTGGATGGGGTGTGTGGGCTCACGTTGTTGTCAAGGCTGCCTGGAGGAAGCGTGCTTTGTGCATTTTTCTCTGAGAGGCCACAACCTCCATTGCCTTTTGGGATGACGACGGCAAGGCGGAGGGATCTCTGGAGGACAGGGCAATGAATAGGCTAGGCTCAGCCCAGCTTGCGCTAACCCAGCTTGTTGTCCTTGTTTTTCAGTAACCTCGGACCCAAACGTGTTGGGAAGTGACGTCTTCGTTGAGTTTTTAAAATTAGCACAGCTGGTAAGCTTGCCCTTCTTTGCCGAGGCCGCTACTCCTCTGCAGGACGTGTCCCTTTGTTGATCACATGTGCGTGCACAAGCACAGGTATGTGCTGTGGCCATCGCCCGCAGAGCCGGGCTCGGGTAAAATACATCCATTTCAAGTAGATCAAAGGTGGGTTCCTATTTTGTTCATTTGGAGGTTTAGATTCTAGATGGAAAATGAAGTATGTCACCTGACTTTGGCTCATTTTATTAGGCAGATACTTTTTGTATAGCTTAAGAATCATATGTCTCAAAACTGGCCATGAGGAAGAGAATTTGTGAATATGTAACAGTAAAAGAACTGCAGCTCTTCTTGCTAAAGGATCGATCCCGTGACAAGTCTGTTATCTTGTTTCTGTAGCTGAGATTTCCAAGTGTGACATGGTGAAGACATCAGAACTCTGGGCCATACACAGCTATTACTTGTATGTTCTCTGCTCCTAACTTTATCCTAAGTGGGTAATGGAGGAAATTCAGCTTAGGCAGAATAACATACAGCAACTCCCTTTCATTTGTTGATCTGAACAACCACCGGACACTTGCCCCAGGCTGAGACTTTGCTAAGTACATTTGTTTTGCACATCACTTATTCTGATTATATACATGGAAATATTTTTATGCCTGCATGTATGCACTTGACTGAGTAGAAAAGCTCTGAAAGGATTGAAGTTGCACAATAATATACTATTGAACTGGATCCTTATTGAGGGTAGGAATGATACCTCGATCAGATGTGCAAAAAACTAGAACACATTTCATTTACACAGGGCTTCAAGTCTGTTGATGTATTTACTGGTCTATTCAACCCGAGAATGGCCCTAGAGTCTTCTGTTGTGTAGTGGTTCAATTTTCACATACACTTAGTGGTGGACATATACGCATACTTTCTTTTTCATTGAAAAGTTTGTTGTTGAGGTGGTGATGTTAGTAAAATTTGAAGGCCACAAAAGCGTATACAATGAAAAGTAACTTTTCTTTCCCCATGGTCCCCCTCCTCAGGGACAGTGGCTGTTTTAGTTTAATGTATTCTCTTTCTACACATTTTTTTGTGCATATACAAACATACATATATACACACACAGAGTCATATGTCACTTAACAATGGGGACACGTTCCGAGGAATGCATCAGTAGGCTATTTCATTGTCGTGTGAACATCATAGAGTGTACTTACATGAACCTAGATGGTCTAGCCTACTAGGCTATGTGGTATAGCCTGTTCCTCCTAGGCTACAAACCTGTACAGCATGTCACTGTCCTGAATACTATAGGCAATTATAGCACAATGGTAAATGTTTATGTACCTAAACACAGAAAAGGTACAGTAAAAATATGGTATTATAATCTTATGGAACCACCATCATATATGTAATATGTTGTTGACAGAAGCATCATCATGAGACATGTATAAGCACACACTCAACACATTTGACAGCTTCCCCATCTATAAAATGGGGAGAAGTGCTCCTGTCTCTTAGGGTTGCTTTGAGGATTAAGTGCTTTTTAAAACTTACATCTTGCATATCATGCTGTATCTGTACATATAAAGGTAAGTTGACTTTAGTTCTATCATCTTTTGGGGGTTCATCAGCAGTTTTGCTTTCAGTGCTTTTAAAATCACTCATGGGATATAAATGTTTTGGAGCTTTGTTTTCTGTATCTTTTTCCTATAATTTGAAAGACTTTTACCTTAATATTTTGCCTCTTACTATAACTTCATACAAAAGCTTTATGCCCCCCAGCTGTGTTTTGCAATATCTCTTCTCTTTTTTTTATTTCCTATTTTTTAAATTATTATTATTTGTAGAGACAGAGTCTCCATATGTTGCTGTCTGGTCTTGCACTCCTGGCCCCAAGCAATCCTCCTGTCTCAGCCTCCCAAAGTGCTGGGATTACAAGTATGAGCCACTGCACCTGGCCTCTTTGTGCTTCTCCTGATGCGATTTTCACTTTTGGAATGGCATTGTTTTTCTCTTTCATTTCTTCCATGAACTTTTCCATTTTTATCCTTTTGTTATCTTACCTATTTTTTGAGGTCTTCGTCTGTTCTTTGAGGTCTTTGATCAGAGAAGCGACGTTTTTATTAACATCCTTTATTTTCATCTGTCTAGTGGCATAGTTTTTCAGGTATATATTTTTGCCTTTCGTTGGTCATGTTTCTTTCCTCCTTTCTTGCCATTGCTTTCAGGTTGTCCTTTCAACCGTGAAATGGGCACTGTTTTCAGCATCAGCGTAGCTCACAGCAACCTCAAACTCTTGGGCTCAAGTGATCCTCCTGCCTCAGCCTTCCAGAGTGCTAGGATTACAGGCGTGAGCCACTGTGCCTGGTCTGTTTGTGGATCTTGTTTCTTATTTCTGAACATTTTCTCACTAACACTCTGCCCTGGGGCATGAGCAGTCTGTCTACCGGTAAAGCCATGAATCATAGTGCCTCCTGTCATTATCTAGTCTTCTAGATCCTTCTGTTGACAAAGATCAAAAGCCCCTGAACTGGCTTAGTAGTTAAGGGTTCAGGCTCTGGAGTGATATGGTCTAGGCTCAAGTTTTGGCTGCTCTACTTTTGATTTCTATGACTTGGTGCAATTTACTTAACCTCTTTGTAACTCAGTTTGCCCATCTATAAAATGGAGAGGAGAGCTCCTGTCTCTTAGGGTTGCTTTGAGGATAAAATTGATTGAAACCCTTAAAGCACTTATATACCATCTGACTCAGTGTTCATACCGATGAGGTTGTCATTACAGTTATTAATGCCAGGCCCTTTTGCTCTTCCCAGCCATGCTGAGAGGTTGCTTTTTGCAAAAATGGAATGTCTGCACATCTCTTCAGCATCCCCTGCCACTGGGTGGTGTCAGGTGGGCCCAGAGTTGTGCTCCCAGGCCTGCTGAGCCTCTCTCAATAAACTGCTTTGAGGCAGCTCACGTGCTGCTGAGTCTCATGGCACCTTGAGCCCCGACTGCCTACCCCAGCCAGGCCTGATTTTCACTGCGATTGGCAGTGCCCCCTGAGAACCCAGAGGTTCAGGTGCAGGACTGTTTCTTTTCTTTTTTTTTTTTTTTGAGACAGAGTCTCACTTTGTTGCCTAGGCTAGAGTGAGTGCCGTGGTGTCAGCCTAGCTCACAGCAACCTCAAACTCTTGGACTTAAGCGATCCTCCTGCCTCAGCCTCCCGAGTAGCTGGGACTACAGGCATGCGCCACCATGCCCAGCTAATTTTTTCTACATATATTAGTTGGCCAATTAATTTCTTCTTTATTTATAGTAGAGACAGGGTCTCGCTCTTGCTCAGGCTGGTTTTGAACTCCTGACCTTGAGCAATCCGCCCACCTCGGCCTCCCAGAGTGCTAGGATTACAGGCGTGAGCCACCGCGCCTGGCCTAGGACTGTTTCTTGAGTGATGGTTTTCTTTCTAAATGGTTTCTGTTTGCCTCTAAAAGGAGAGCAGGACAGAGGAAACTTTACTCCTAAAGATGTTTCTAAGGAGGTTTTTTTTTTTTTTTATTTCAGCATATTATGGAAGTACAAATGTTTAGGTTACATACATTGCCTTTGTCCCACCAAATCAGAGCTTCAAGCGTGCCCATCCCTCAGATGGGGCGCCTGCACCCATTAGGTGAGAATATACCCATTCCCTCCTCCCTTCCCACCTGCCCGACACCCGATAAATGTTACTACTATATGTGCACTTAAGTGTTGATCAGTACCAATTTGATGGTGAATACATTTGGTGCTTATTTTTACATTCTTGTGATACTTCACTTAGTGGAATGGGCTCTGGCTCTATCCAGGATAATATAAGAGGTGCTAGATCACCATTGTTTTTTGTGGCTGAGTAGAACTCTGTCATATATATATACCACATTTTATTAATCCATTAATTATTGATGGGCACTTGGGTTGTTTCCACATCTTTGCAATTGCAAATTGTGCTGCTATAAACATTCTAGTGTAGATGTCTTTTTTTACAGAATGTCTTTTTTTCCTTTGGGTAGATGCCCAGTACTGGGCATTGCTGGGATTGCTGGCTCAAATGGTAGATCTACTTGAAGCTCTTTGAGGTATCTCCATATTACTTTCCACAGAGGTTGTACTAGTTCGTAGTCCCACCTGCAGTGTATGAGTGTTCCTATCTCTCCCCATCCACAGCAACATTTACTGTTTTGGGACTTTTTGTTAAAAGCCATTCTCACTGGAATTAAGTGATATCTCATTGTGGTTTCGATTTGCTTTTCCCTGAGGATTAGAGATGTTGAGCATTTTTTCATATGTTTGTTAGCCATTAATCTGTCTTCTTTTGAAAAGTTTCTGTTCATGTCCTTTGCCCACTTTTTAATGGGGTTGTTTGAGTTTTTTCTTGCTGATTTTCCTGAGTTCTATATAGATTCCAGTTATCAGCCTCTTAATAGATGTGTAACATGGGAATACTTTCTTCCATTCCGTAGGTTGTCTGTTTGCTCTCATGATACTTTCCTTGGCTGTGCAGAAACTTTTTAATTTGATCAGGTCCCATTTATTTATTTTTGTTGTTGCTGTGATTGCCTTTGGGGTCTTTTTCATAAATTCTTTCTGTAGCTTTAATTACAATTTCGAAAAGGAAATTAAGTTTAAATCAAGAAGATTGTCTTATGTTCATTGTGCCTAGTTCTGCTTTATCCTGTCACTGGTTGTTTGTACACTCAACAACTATGCATCGAACCGCTGCTGTGAGCTGACACTGCTCAGGAGACAGGGAGACAGCAGTAAATAACACCCTGTCCAGCTTGCAGAGTTTGCCATCTTCTCGCGGAGACAGGAGAATCACTCGGCACGTCAGTAAATGTAATGAGCACAGTGCTGCAGGGCTGAGCACTGAGATACAGGATCTCATTCTAGGAGAGTTTGGGGATATGTTGAGATTTCCAACCCCTCAGCCCTGGTGCGACATTTGTGGTTCCTGCCACCTCCAGCGGCTTCATGCCCACCTACCCCAGTGTATAGTACAT